GCTAATTCAGGTAACCGGAAAGCTGGCTTTTATTATTCCTCTAGCTCATAACTCGCAACAGTTGTTTTCCCCTTCTTTTTTTTTTTTTTCTTTTTTTTTTTTCTTCCCCGCCTCCCCTTCTCCCCCCGAAGTGGGATGGGAGGAGCAGGTTTTGTAGCTGCACTGCGTATAAATACTCAGCCCGAGGAAGCGGAGCGGCTCTGGTGAAGTTTTAATTAGATCGCTTTGGGGACAGGCGAGGTCTGTGTCTGGAGGGCAGACAGGTTTCCTTACATGAGAGGCAACAGTCTCACTCAGCAGTGGGATTCAGAAGGCTGTGGGAAGGGGGTCCCACGGACTGTCTTGGTGCTGGGAGCTTCGTGCAGTTTAAAATGAAAGAGGCAGAGGCGCTGGTGGAAGTAAGGTGAGCTGAGGTGAGACCGAACTGGTATTGCCGCTGTTGCAGCAGCAGTTCCCAAAGCCATAAAACAGCTGCGAGTCTGTGTGTGAAGTCTAATGGCATCGATTGCGTAAGAAGTGGGGTCGGAGTTCCCGTCGCCTGCTCGAATACACCCTCTAGAGAAGCTGGTCTCCACATGATTGGTGTGGTATGTTGTAATCCTGTGGTCTTTACATGACCGCATAATATGTGTGATAGCTTGATGTGACATGGGAAAGACTGGAGGGATTTGGAGAAGGACAGAACTAGTGGCTGTGCCACTTCTGTGCCCCTTTGTTAACAACGTTATCTGTGTGTGTGCATGTGTACACATTTATGTGGGTTTGCACTTCGCAGCATTTGAAAACCTACTGATTAACTTTTAAAAAGTTAATCAGGACTTAGTGTTGAGGGTCAGTCAGCGGAAAGCTGGCCTGCTCGCTGAGCTGCAGCAGCAGTTTCTGCTTCTAGCATGCTGTAAGCATCCGTCTTTCTGCACTTGCGTTTCAGCACATAGTTTACTGAGACAGAGTTTCTTTTCCAGTGCTGATTTTGTTTCTTCTTTTCCAGAAAAAGAGGAAGTTACTATAAATGGAGAAGATGAAAAAGAACAGAAAGACCCCTATTTTGTGGAAACACCTTATGGCTACCAGCTAGACTTGGATTTTCTGAAATACGTGGATGATATACAAAAGGGGAATACCATTAAGAAACTAAACATCCAAAAGAAGAGGAAAAACGTACCAGCCTCGGCAGGTACCAAGAATTCTGTTGGCCAGTGCAGTGGCTGGATCTCCACGGAGTCTCTCTCTTCATCCAACAGTGATGAGAACAAGCAGTCCTGTCTGGCAGCAAGGAGTCAAGTAATCTTGTCCGTCACTGCGAGACCCTCAGTTTCCTTCGAAGCATCTCCTTGTCACTTAACCATCCCCGAGAGTAAGCAGCTTCCTCCTCCCTCCCCCCAGCCTCCTCGGCACAACCTCCATGTAACAAAAACCCTCATGGAAACGCGGAGGCGACTTGAGCAGGAGAGGATGATGCAGGTCGTGCCTGGAGATGTCCGCAGGCCCCGGCTTTCCAGCTTTGGAGGCATGGGCTCCACGAGCTCCCTCCCCTCTTTTGTGGGATCCACCGGGTACGGTCACGCGTCTCAGCAGGTGCAGAATGGGTACCAGGGGAACGGCGACTATGGCGCCTGCTTCAGCTCCTCCTTGGGCAGTTCCATTCGTCACAGCCCCATGAGCTCGGGAATATCCACACCGGTGACCAACGTGAGCCCAGTGCATCTGCAGCACATCAGGGAGCAAATGGCAGTTGCCCTCAAGCGTCTCAAGGAGCTCGAGGAACAAGTCAAGACCATTCCTGTGCTGCAGGTCAAAATTTCAGTGTTGCAGGAAGAGAAGAGGCACATGATGGCTGAACTCAAAAACCAGAGGAAAGCCACACAAAATGACACATATGGTTTCAGAAAGCGATCCTACAGTGCAGGAAATGCAGAGCAGTGGGAACACATGTCTCAGGTGAGAAGAGGTGGAGAACTGTATATAGACTGTGAGGAGGAGGTGGAGAGTGTGGAGCAGAGCTCTCAGAGGATAGAGGAGTTCAGGCAGCTGACTGCTGAGATGCAAGCCTTGGAGAAAAAGATCCAGGATAGCAATTACGAAAGTCCAGCAAACCTTCGGGTGAACAGAGAAAGCCTGACAAAAGAAGCCCGATCTGTTGCTGTAGGTTCTGATGAGAACATGAACGATGTAGTTATATACAACAGATCTGCGAGGAAACACAAAGAAGTGGCTGTGGGGACAGAGAAAGAAACAAGAGAGTCTGGGGTTGGGGTGACGGAGTCCATGCTTGGCTTGTCTACAGAGGTTGAGAAAGAGATAGAGCTTCAGCAGCAGACCATTGAAGCCCTTAAGGAGAAGATTTACAGACTAGAGGTTCAGTTAAAGGAAACGACCCATGACAGGGAAATGACCAAATTAAAACAGCAGCTGCAGGCAGCTGGGTCTAGGAAAAAAGTGGATAAAGCTATGATGGCTCAGCCCAGTGTTGTCAGCAGGATGGTAGAGGCCATTGTACAAACGAGAGACCAAATGGTAGGAGACCACGTGGATGTCACCGATTCATCGGTGGGAAACCACCTGCAGACAAGCAGTGTCGGCACCTCCTGCAGACCTGCCTTGCAGAATGCAGCAGTGGGCCCCGAGCTGCTGATGAGCCGGTGGCTGGTGAGGGAGAGGGCAGAGGTGCGAGACCAGGGCACGGAGAGGTCCCTAGAGCTGTGTGACAAGGCTGTGGGAACAGACACAAGTGTCCGTGAGACAGGGGTCAACACGGAGGAGCCGGCAGGCGTGCCAAGTCCCCGCCAGATGATGCAGGCGGTCAGAGCAGTGAGGTCTGTGGGCTGTGGGGATTGCTTGGTGGATGTAGTAGTTTGTGCCCCCAAGGAGTGTGTGTCCCGCGAAACGGCCACAGAGGCTGTGCCCAGGGCAGAGGCAACCGTAATGGCCGTGCCTTCTACAGCAAGCCGTCAAACCAGCACTGCTCTGGAGATGGTGAGCCAGTGCACTAGCACAGAGATGGCCTGTCTGGCAGACTGTGGGACCAACACTGCTCTGAGCAGCTGCGATAAGCAGACCAGCACAGAGAGCGTGGAGACACGAAGCGTGGCAGTAGGAGATGGCCGGGTGAAGGACATACATGCGTCTGCTAAAACGCGTTCGGTTGGAGTGGGCACCTTGCTCTCTAGCCACCCTGGCTTTGAAAAGCCCTCTGCAGTAAAAACCAAAGACTGTGGCATTGGGCAGATAAACATTCATGAGAACTACCTGGTTGGTCTTAAAATGAGGAGCATTGCCTGTGGACCCCCTCCATTGCCGGTTGTGCCATCTGGCACCAGGAGCATTGGTGTTGGTGAGGAGTCTGTGTGCGAGCCGGTGAGTCGTCTGTTGGAGAGCCCTCTGCCTCCACCTGAACTGAGGACGGGCTTGGATCACTACATCGAGCGTGTGCAGAAGCTGCTGCAGGAACAGCAGATGCTGCTTGCTGAAAATTACAGTGAATTGGCAGAAGCCTTTGGGGAACCCCACACCCAGATTGGATCTCTCAATTCACAGCTCCTCAGCACCCTCACCTCCATCAACTCCGTCATGAAATGCACTAGCACAGAGGAGCTGCAGAGCCTGGACCTTCAGAAGCAGTGCATGGAGCGAAGCGCCATGTCAGGTAAGCCCAGCGTCCAGGCACGCGTTTGGTCCACTCCTTGCCAGAGCCACAGGTCAGTCACCTGCTGAGCTCTCATTTAGTATGGAAGCAAGTGCGTAATCCTCCCTGATGAAACACCGAACATAATTTTGTTGCTGGATGTGCCCATTGGGTATTCTCTCCAGCTCACCACTGGTAACTGAAAAACCAGAGGTGGTTTTTTCTCTCCCAGTCCAGCAGACTCTGAAGAGCCTGATGATGATGATGATTGCTCTGACCGTGCAGGAGAGATATCTAAAAGTGTGCAGGGTTTGACCACCATGCAAGGTGTTGACTCCATTTTATAACTTTAACAGTATTCGAGGTTAATGCCTGTGGTTTTGGAATTTTGTCCTTCTTTAAACTTGGTGTGCAGTTTGTAAAAACTATAGTGTGAGATGTGATGGAGTTGAAAGTCACATTCAACGTCTGTATCAAACTTGACTTGTTTCCACAGATGTTTCTCTGGATTTTGTAGTGTTTCTTCCATCACCTTTGTTCCTTGTGCATCTCAGCCAGAGAGCTGTGGGGTGCTTTCCCTGTTCCAGCAAGGCCGATTGCTTTATAACAGGCAACTCAAGAGTGCTTCGCAGAAACCACATCTTGCGTCTCTCTGTTCAAATAACTGTTTGTCCTAATCCCTAATTACAACCTCATGGTTGAAGTTATAAGCTGTAATTATTGCTGGAGGTTTTGGTGACACTCAGGAAAGGCAAGAATTGAGATTTAAATACTCCTTGCATTTTATTTATTAACTTCAAAATCTGTGCAATTAATTTGAGGCACTTCTTTATTCCTTGGCATAAAGTTGCTTACTTTTTTTTAATTATTATTTTTGGGTGTCTGGTAGTCTAGTTTAAAACTCAGACAGTTTTCCAACCACATTACTGTTAAATTTGTAAACATTGGCTTAGTGGAAACCAATGTGTAATGCCTATCAGTGACTGTTAGATACTGTCTTCTTGGTTCTGGCATTCAGTGACTGAAACAAGAGGTTAAGGAAATGGGAAAAACTTGTGCAAATTGATCTGTATTGTGTGTGCTGAACTGGAAAAAAAAATCATGAGTAAATACCATTTGATGTCAGCATAATACTATTGGCTAATGCATTACTATATAAAGCTTTTGCAGCTTATTTACTGTCTTAATATTTACCTATTTTTGTTGAAAGGCAGCTTGGTAAATCTGATTCTTTTCAACGTTCATGCGCTAAATGAGACCATCCATTAAATGAGCTAAAGTAAAAATTTGAGTTTCCAATTGTAAAGCAATAAGCAACATTTATGTAGCAATAAAGGAAAAGTATGATATCCTGTCTGCATACATGCAATGTGGTACTATATATGCAACATTACTATCTTTCTGGTATGCACTTTATATTTTGGGCTTCTTATAAATAATGATACTATAATAATAAGAGTGTCTAACAGACACCAGGAGTGTCCTTAGAAACAGTGAACCAGAATTTTTACTAGCTGTAAATCCTCAATTCCTTTCCCTGCTTTTACTGCACAGTATCAAATGTGTAGTCTAGAGACTTGAAAGTATTTAGACACAGGTGGAGCAATGGATCATATTTTACTAAAGATGTTCTTACTCATAATCAGATTTCACATTCTTGATAAAATTATTCTGGAATAATTTTATTTTAACTTGTAATGCCATTATCTTTAGCTGTAGATGCTGAGTGTAAAATCTCTTTATTTTTAGTCCCTGGTGAGAACTACATGCCAGGACTGCGTGCATGAATCTGGGCTATTACAGTTTAGACCCATGGAGAATTGGAGTGGGAAGGAGGTCATAAGCCTGAAATGTTTCCCCTTCTCTTTCTATTAATTGCAAAAATATTTTCTTTACCACATTTATCTGCTGGTCCTGCTGCCTGTTCCTGTGGTATTACAGACGATGTGTTACTTTTTTCTGTAGAAGGATTTTTGCTCAGTAAATCACTAACTTAAATCATTTTGTAAGTGCTGGGACTAACAAAGCCTATTTCCACACACCCCCTCCCCCCATCCATCAGTATTTCATGATAGCCTGTGAGCTCTTAGTAAGTCTCTCCTCGTGTTTGGGTCTCTTGGATGTGGCTTTTCAGGCGTCTTGTGTATGGACTCAACCAGCACCTCTTTCTCTAGATCTGGCATCTCAGCCTGATTTCTCTAAAGCCTGTATAAATATAAAAATCCTTCAGAGGACCAAGTCTCTAGTCCGGTTTGGATAAAATGAGCAATTTGGATTAAGTTATTGAAGGAAGCATGACCTTGTAAGCCTCGGTTTCTTAGAAAAACAGGCTGAAAACAGAGACAGAAGTATCTGGTTTCAGACTAGCAGCAATAGTGTCATCTTTAATATTTTATTCAAAGGGCGTCCTTAGGAAGTGCCTCGTAGCGACAGGTCCTTTTGGAGCAAAAATACCTGAGCTGGGTTTGAGGCGTGTGATTCGGGTACCAGTTTGCCCTGTTAAAGGGTTAGTGGTCCATACTGCTTCTGATACCTGAGGTAGCACATCAGTCAAATTCTCAGCTTTACAGATGTTTCTCCCTGCTAGTGCCAGGAGGACAGGGGAGTGCTGCAGGGGCATCTGCCATCTCGCTGCCCTTGGCAGGCGTTGTGGCAAGCAATGGAGGGGCAGGCATGAGAGCCGGAGCCTGTGGAGCAGGATGTGGGCTGGCCCTGCAGCTGGTGTCCTTAGTCACAAGCCAAGCAAGCCAAGAGGACCTCCGAGATGATCTCTGAACCGAGTCTATTAGCAGTTAGTATATTGCTTGTTGCAGAATAAACACCTTCACTTACGTAACTAAGCAACTCCTATTTACATATGCACTATCTTTCAGAAGCCCTAATGACATCAGGGCAACCAAACCTGCTGGCCAGAAAAGCCGATTTCCACTGCACAAAGTCATCTTAGTCAGCATTGGCACCTTGTCTGTGTCCAGCTGGATCGTGTGGGTGACAAACCTAGATGCTAACTGACCCTTATTCTTAGGCCATACGGCCTGTAGGAGGACGAAGAGAGGTGAATGCCTTCAGGTTTTCTGTTTATCATCACAGAATTTTTGAGAAGTTCCAGAAAACTACATTTGAGTGCGCATCATGCAGTTTTCAAGATATTAGCCAGAGGCCTGTTGTCACTTGTAGGGCTTTTAATTACATGGACTTTTCACAAGTGTTATACATGAATGTCTTTCACAGGCAAGGAGTTTTCAAGGGTGGTATTTAAAAACAGCTGCTTTACTGTTGTCCTGAAAAATTACCTGAGCATATTTGACCTGAAAATGCATGGTTGGTTATTTTCATAGAATCATAGAATGGTTTGGATTGGAAGGGACCTTAAGATCATCTAGTTCCAATCCCCCTGCCTCAGTGATCTTTGGAGGATCAGTTTTGTAGTCACTTTTTGGAGCAATCGTGACTAAGCGCCCCAGTGGAAGCATGACACTAATCATAAGGAAGGAGGCAACTTCTTGAATTAAAACTTGAGGGAGGAAAAGGAAGAAAAGGAAGCAGGTGGTGTTGGAAGGTCTCAGAGGTTAGGAAAACATTATATTTCATGTAGTGCAAAGATCTTTCAAGATTTTCAAATCTGATTTCCACCTAGAGCTGGGGAGGCAGACTGAGGGACAATGGGAAGACCAAAGTAATGACAGTGGTGTGAGAAGCTCCTGGTTGTCCAAAGCTGTTGTGTAGGACTGATGAGGTATTGTGGCCATGGTTGTTTCTCTTTGTGTTATCATTCATAATGCAAAACCAGCAGGTAATTGGAGGAAGCTGTTTTCTCCGTACAGCTTCTCTGTTTGACAAATTTTGTAGTCTTTTCACTCAAAGACTGTGTAGCTTGGTAGCCCCTCTCCTGGCAGCATGGACCACATGGTTGAAGACATGAGGCTTGCTTGAGGCTCAGGAGCCAGTGTTGGTGCTGTTGGAGGCACAGGCATGTCGGTGGACCCTGCAAAGCTGTGATCTACTACAAATCGCACTAGTTCTTGATGTCTAGGCAAGCAAGTGAGGCCCTCAGCTTCAGTTGTGTGGCAGACACATGCCTTAATCACCAGGTTATGTTTCTGTATAGGTGGTTTTTTGTGTAACAAACAGGACACATCAGTCTTACCTGCTGGGGAGAGGGTGACTGGAATACATGAAACATTTTTCACACTCCCTGGAAGGTTGTGCGTGATGCAAAACAGTCATGTAGATGGTCCTACCTGTATACCAGATGACTACTGTTTATTCACGTGTGTCTGGCTGGCATCTCAAAGAATACAGTGCCTCTTCTGCATTTTTCATATGGCAGGTGGTATCTATTGACCTGCTAGTTATGACAACATATAAAGCTCCAATGCCTATGTCATTCAAAAATAGTAGCATCTTCTGTATTAGGAGCCAAGATGTTTAGCGTTTTGTTTTTGTTTTTGTTTTCCTGTTTAAAGTATCAATCTGATTATTTCAGAAGAGAAGCAGAGACCTGGTCAGTCATTGTCCTGTGGAGACATAGTTCAAGTGAAACTCCATAAACCTCTTCAAAAAAGTTTGATGTACCTTCCATGGTCATGTGTTAACACAAGCTTATTACTGTCATCGTTATTATCATTAGAGTATTTGCTGTTTTCATTCTGTGGCAGCACTACATGGTGTGTTCAAATCTGAAAGCTGGGCTATCTCCTCATTTCTGCTTCAGTTAATAAAGAGTATAATTTGCCATAGTATAAATATTTTTTTTCCTTCAAACCTGTTGCCGCTTAGAGAGCGGCAATCTCTAGCCTGCTAACCTGTCTGTTAGAGTGACTTCGGTAAAACCCCAGTTCCTTCCCAGTGCTGTGGCACCAGGACATGACGTTCAGGCACTGAGCTTCGTTCAGAGTTCAGCTCCCATGGTAACAGGCACATCTGTGAATATTTTATGGCAGGAGATTCCCATTTTTCCAAGGAGGAGGTGTCGTATTTCAGCAAAAATAAAGCATCAGCTGAGAAGATCAGTTCCTCAT